TTAATCACAATGCTTTAATCTCAATGAGGATAAATAATCGTTTAGCTCTGAAAATATGAGTTTGTAAATTAATAGTATTGTAAGGAAAAAAATTGTTAAATGAGGCAGCTATCGTTTGGGACCTACCTGATTTGATGATAGCCGCTGAGTTTAGTTTCCCTGGTAATAGGGTGTTAAGTTCTCACTTATTTATTATAAGTTTAAATTGAAAATTATCATCTAGTATGAAACGTAATATTTCACATATATATTATTCTCATTACTTCGCCAAGACGGTATTGCCCTAATTAGTAAAAGATCACATCCGCGTGGCAGAGAATGATTCTTAAGTGCAACCTGTTCAACCGGGCGAACATCAGTGTCGCCTCAAATGTCGTAGAGTACAAACGTGTGTTCAAGCTTTGTGATCATTCGATATAAACCGGCAAATCTACATTCCCGAATATTCAAATATCAGCCCTAAAATACAGTCCACGACCCCTGCAGCGTAGGGTGGACGCGCCAAGAAGAGAAGTCAGCGTCAGGAAGCCAAGGAAATTAAAGGTATGACCTGATTGGCGAAGCTTTAAATTTTCTTTTGCGCATGACATACCGTAGCTTAACCATAACCTATTCATAGGGATGAGATGGACGGTTGTATGGTGTCGTTTGATATTTTTTTATATTTTACCTTTTTTAATGTTGATTTTCGATATATTGTCCTTTCGATTTAATGAATTTTAGATCTATTGTCTTTTTGATAAAATATATGTTCCATTAAATATTATTCGATAAAATGTATTTTCGATCAAATGTTATTCGACAAAATATATTTTTGATCAAATTTCCAATTACATCAAATGTTTTCGATCAACTTTGTGCTACCCCTTAAGACGATTCGCGAACAACTGGACCCGTATTCAGTAACTTTGGGAGTAGTTGTGTAGGAGTACTCTCACAATTTGGCCTTGCTGCGCATGTCACTGGCCTAAATTTATAAAGCATCATGTGAGCGGTGAAAACAGTGTTGTCAGATGTACGATAATTATCGTATTGGTACGATATACGGGGTATTAAAGTAGAAAATTGTCCAGTGTTTCGGAATTTTTATTCTCCAACTTTAATTTCAGAAATTTTGACCGGCCGCCACTTTACATAAGGAAAGTGCGGGGTGATTTGGATAATGGATGTGTAGGTTTTAAACCCACATATGAAATGATAAAATTAATGATGACATCTTAACCCTTAAATGCCGGTACTCCTGAAATCAACCTACATGCCGGTACGGGGTCCTTCAGGGACCCCAGTGAAAAATGTCTTTTTTGCAAATACTTTTATGCATTTTTGAAAAATAATACACTTTAATGTATTTATACAAATTTATTTAATTTTAACACAAAGTATAGAATGGTTGACAAGGCAAATAATGGCGGTTTGCAATAAAAAACTTATAAAATAAAAAATGAAAGTAAAATGTTACTCCATGAAAACTAAACGTAAAACTTTTATATAATTCAATCAACTGAATGTTTGTTTATATTTCAGTTTGAAGAACAAGTGGTACATAAAATTGTTTGCTCTTTTTTTCTATGAATTTCGCATACAAACTTCCTACATAGTGCGCACGTTATGTTAACTTTCTTGTCCAATTTTCGAGGGCACTGATAGCATCTGGCTCGTTTTATAGCCGGAGTTGCTGGCTTAGGAACATGTTGATCTTGCACTACTATTCCACAATCTCGTAGAGCCGATTTTACGTGCTCTTTATGGTTTTTATAGTGGGACCTTTTCTCCATATTCTCCAAACAATCGTCGTCGCGAGCTATTTTTCTTTTGCCAATCAGAATTTTTTTCAACACATAAAATAAAAGAATTTAGAGCACAAATATCTAGCATATTCATAAATATCGTATCGGCCATCGAGCTGTTCTTCTGGAGCACGAATACTCTCTAATGAGCTTATCGGCATTGTCAACGGCACCCTTGCTTGCATTGCAATCTAAAATCATATGTGGCTTATTTTTGTTGTCTGCACAGATTTTATCATCATCATGTTGGCTTGAAATAAGATGTATCATCCTATTCTTTTTCGGGATATAAAGGACCATCGTTAGCTCTTTAGTAAATGCAAACATAGATAACTCAACTGTCCTGGACACATTAATTATTCGTCAATCGTGATATTTTCGTACGGTTCAAACGCCTTTCTGCAATTATCTACAAACATGTACCAAATATCTCTTATTGCTGCTAACTTGTCTTCTTCCTTTTGCTCAGCTCTGGTTGATTTGTCATCGAATCGTAAAAATAATGATATTTACTTAAATCTATCCCGCGCTAAAGCAGTTGTGAAAAATGATCGACGTATGGAGATATTAGTAGACCACATTTCCCTAGTAGATCCCTTTCTACACCTTAGTGCTCCTGCTTTTAGAAGTACACCTAAAAAACTGTTAAGTTCATCTTCCTCAAGATTTGTCCAATGTCTGTTGTTGTTGGGATTTTTGGTATTCCACTCATCAAAATTCCTAGTAGCTTCTTCATTAGTATGACGACAGATAATTTCTTTCATTTCCGTTGTCAAAAAGAGGTTGAAAATATCTAAGAATGTACTGCAGTCTTTACTGTAATCTGTAGTGCATTTACAATATTCCTTTGGCGCCTTCTAGTGGTTATAAAAGGGTGCATATTCTTGAGGTTCCGTAGGTTCTCCTTCCTTAGCATCTTCTTGAGGTCCTCTCGGTTATTCATCTGATTCCTCTTCACTTTGTATTTCTAAGTTATCCTCCATTTCCGACATATTTTCTGTCATTAAATCTTGAGCCATCTCATTTTCCGACTCTTCATCGCTTTCGTACTCCATTTCAGAATCTCAGTCGTCAATATCGTAGATTAGTTCTTCATGTTCTTTTTGTGTTAGTGGCCTGGTTCTCTCATAACGCTTCATTCTATAAAACAATCGTATTTATCAACAAAATTTTTGATATCGCTTAATGCCGAATCGGGGTCTCAGCGGGACCCCAAATAGGCACCTAAGGGTTAAACGTATCGACAAAAACAACTGGAAGATCAAAAACAGAAAGGATTACAAAAAGAAGAATTTATTTTTTAAGAACAAGAACAACTTAAGTGTACTTTTTTATTTCTAAATTTATTATCAAATTACCCTAACCCTTAACCCATAAACTCTTAAATTAACCAGCCTCCAATAACGTCACATTAGTAAGGTCCGTTTTGTACGATAAAATCATGAAAAAAAAAGAAGGATAATTTCAAGAGCATTGTACAACAATTTGATTTTCGTCATCTGGGCACATATGTATCCTAGAATATGTATTTCAAAACTGATGTAACTGCTCTCTAGCAGACGGAACTGCCAATTATCTTAGTGACACTATTTCACATAAAATTTCCTTAATTTTGGGATGTACAAAACCAAACTTTAAAGTTGTGCCAGTCTTCTTCCAAAGTAGCGATATAAACTCAAGATATCGATTAGAACATATTGAATATCCTGAACCCCTATTCTTTCTTGCTCGCTTGCCGGAATATTAAATCGAACCCTTCAGTTATGTTTCTAAATAAAATTCAAACCAAAATATCCAACCAAATATCTCATGTGTCAGTAATCAGTTGTATAAACAACCGTTTCACTAGATGATTCTTTGTTCGAAAGAACGGTCCATCAGATTGCGACGATACGAAATCCCAAACAAGGGAATATCGTAGAGCGGTAACGCGTAGCCGAACAAAAGAGCATCAAAAGGCATGCGAGCTGTCGCTTTTGATTTCCTCCCACGATGAAAAGTCTAGGACGGGAAGGAAAATGTTTAGGAAGAAACGTGACCGATCGACGACTTGAGAAAAGGCCCTTCTGCGGTTTACTTTTTGCTACGCGCCAATGCAAAAGATCGAGTTCTGAATTAAAATGCGGTGAAAGACCGAGAATGAGGTTTCTATATTCTCTCCGTGAAAGTAATTGCAGGAAAGGGTGTTTGATTGTTGCAGTCCTTTTCAGTGCTCTAATTTTTACTCGAGAGATGAAGCTGAAAGAGGTGTTACATCAAGCGTTATTCACTTTGAATTGTAACTGATACAAACGCTTGAATGCTGCAAAGGCTTCAAGTATTAAAGACGAAAGAAACAACAAATATGAAATATGTTCATAGAATTAGAATAGACAATCATTTAAAATATTTATAATAAAAATATGCAATATTTCAAAACTATGTAAAAAAAATAAGAACAGACAAAAAATGAAAAAAAAAAAAAATGGAAATATATGCAAAAATATGAAAAACTATGTAAAAAATATGAAGAAATATACAGAAATATGCAGAAATATGCAGAAATATGCAAAAATATGAAAGAATATGAAAAAATATTAAAAAAAATTAAAAATATATAAAAAAATTTGAAAAAATTTGAAAAAATATGAGAAATGAAAAAATATGAAAAAATATAAAAATTGGAAAAATATTTTTCCAATTTCAATCTCTAGTTCAATGTTTGGAAATTATTTTAAAATAACAATTTAGCATTTTTGTTACTACAATATATATGGAACGTGAAGTGAAATTAGAGTTTATAGTACCTAAATATGAAATTACCATTTTAATTAAACAAAACAATTTATTTCACATACAGGATGTTAATTTGATATATGTTTTATTTTTTACATATTCCTTTATTTTATTCTTCCCCCATTCCTTATTATGTTCTTCACTTTTACGTCGTGATGCTAAGAACAATCACATAATTGAATTCATTTTTTGTTTTAAGATATGTACTTTTTAATCGTCTAATTTGTTATGTTATCATTGTACTTTTTTGTATGATTGATATTGGCTATTTACCTGAAACTCCTGTTTCATTTTGAAATAAATTTAAATGTGGTAAAAGATTTTGTTTATTTTTATTGTTACTACTTCGAGCACATTTGAGAAGTTGGATAACCTTTCACAGTTATCAAGCAAATATGTTTAAATTTCGATACTTAAATTCCATTGTTTATTTTTTAGGACTGTGACAGTAGAAGAAGCCCAAGCGTTCTGCGATAGCCAAGATTCGAGTTGTGCCTTTGTAGAAACATCGGCCAAGAAAAACTTCAAAGTAGACGAAGTCTTCTATCAGTTATTTTTAGTAGCCAATCTCCCCCTAGAGATGGCGCCCAACCATCACAAGAGGGTCAGCGCCAGTTTCGGTTCCCCCTGTCCTCTACCACCCTCAGTACCGAGTCATCACAGCAAGAAGTACCATTTGTCGGTGAAGCGGAGACTCAGTGATGCTTGTGGAGTGGTGACGCCCAACGTGAGACGGCCCAGTATAAGAACCGATTTGATGATTATGAGGACTAAGACTAATAGTTTGGGGGAGACGCCGGGGACGTCAAATAATTCACCTATTAGGTGGAGGAGGGTTGATAACGGGTGTGTTTTGCAGTAAAATAGTTTGGGTTTTTAGTCAGTGAAATTGTCTCTTGTGCTGGTCTTCATTATTTTAAAAATATAAGACTTTGGAAAAAAATTCTTAAACAAGTGAATTTTTCAAAGGAAATAAATTTTAATTCTTCTTTTAAAGTGTAGATGGCGTTACTTTAAGACTTTTGATCCTCATACTAAGGGCTAGTAAAATATATAATCTGTCAAGTAAACCTACTTGGAGCTTTACGCAGAGGTGAAAACAGTCCTAGGTCAAAATATATTTTTGAAGGGGCACATCATGATATATTCCATGTATTTATATCATACTGCGTAACCTACTCATGAAATTTTATGACAACTTTTTCGGCACATAAATGTGAAAATCACAGGGTCATAGATGTAGGTTATGTAGGTCCATATTCTTCCATATTCTTTGGTGTTTGGTGGGCATTGTTTTTATCATTAAATTATTGAATATGGGAGTATTGGAAATTAAGAAAAATAGTTTTTGTAAATGAAATTAGCAGGCTGGGCTTGAAATTACTAACAAGTAGGGTAGAAATCCGAACAACAATTTTAACTTACCAGTAACGGAAAAGGAAAATATATGAATCAAGATTTTTTACCTCGATAAATCTTTACGTTTTGGGGTCTACTCAATTCGGTTTGACAATTTTCGCGAAAATGTCTCTTTGTGTGTATGTGATTGTATCCTTGATAACCACAAAAACGAATAAAAAGAGAAATAACAAATTTTAAACTCAAGGTTTAATCCCTGCTGCGATGAGATGATTAGAATTTGGGCATAGTCGGAGCATTTGACGGGGTAATTTATAGGGATCGTTTTTCTTCTTTAAGGAATATTATGACTAGAGAAAAAATTTGATTTTTTCCCAATATTTTCGTTGACAATGAAGATAGGAAAATTGATTCAAATAAAATATTTGTAGAAAATATTTAGCTGTAATTGATATTCTTAACAGCTGATTAGACCAGGTCTTTTCAACGTTTTTCAGGTTGTGCCCTCCCCCAAACTCATGAAAATCTCTACGCCCCACCTGGGCTGCTATGATTTCGGTGATATATATACTTATTTCACTTTTAACCTAATTTCAAATAGAAGACTGTATTTTTTTAAATATTAATAAACTATTTTGTTTCTAAAAAGTATATAGCATATGTAAAAGTGTTAAATAAAAATATAAAGATGAGTGATTCACAAAAAATGTTTCTAATCTAGGCCATGAACAAACAACAAAGACAAAAATAGCAGTCATGTCCGTGATAATTACGTGCGAATCCGAATTAAATCCAAATTGACACAAAGAATAATAATTGTAAGCTACGGCGACATGCTTGATTTTTTACGATGCCTATTTTAAAAACATTTTTCTTATATTACTCCATATTTTCATCTCAAGCCATTTTCAAGTTGCAATGCGTTTGGTGCCATCTATAAATTTACATAGAAAGTAATTAAAGTCAGATTTAAAAATGTTATTTCTAGTGTCTACAAATAAATTAGCATACCTACATATCTACTTTTTTGCTGGTCAATTTCATCGCCTGCTAGCTAAGATAACTCTATCTGAATTCGTATAGGGGAAGTAGGGATATAACGAACACATCAAGGAAAAACAAATATAATTGTCGTCTAAATAAACTTTAGTAAAAATAACAAGTGGTATTACATTGCTTACAGATTTAATAATAAAAATATGTATAATTTAATGAAATAACGCAAAGGTTATCTTAACCACAAATGAAAAATAAATGTCATATATTTGCTCGTTCTGCCCCGATATTGGGGTAAAATGAGCGCACTGGAAAGTTCCTCTGTATCACGAATTTTTTGTATTTATCTACAAAAATCACATGCTTAAATTTACTTGAGGTTTTCCAATTAATAGGAGGAACTGCGATAGCTTTATAAAAAGCGAGCTCGCCTTAAATCCCACTCTGTTTGAAGTAAAATATCAGTGCTTGGAGTATGTCGGCAGATGATATCAGTCAGCGTCATGGGATTGCAAACGCCTTCTTCAACTTCTCTTATTCTCGCTTCATATGAATATTCTTCTCTTTGTTACTCCTTATAGTTTTGTACTATACCCAAGAAAAATTTAAGCGGAATATGTACATATATTTCTTATATTTTGTTATATCTGCACAATTTTGCAAGCACTTTTAAGTATTTTGTGGAAAAAAATAACAAATTGTTACTTCACATATGCATAAAACAAATAAACATCGCTGACGGCTATGAACATGCTTTGACAAGACGGTACTGCTGTATGTGAGGTGAGAGGGCATTTGTAAACTGGCTCAGGGGATGGTTTTTATCAAGAAAATTGGGGATAATGTTCGTCATGCCCCTGTGCTCATTATGCTCCGGCTTCCCCTACATTTATTTTTTAAATAAAGAAACATGGTCCCATTGCAATACTAAAAGAAACATTGAATTCTACCAATTTTATGTTATCTTCTTAAACTTACTTTTATTTTTCCATAATATTAGGTCGATCAATATAAATACAAAATAACAACAAAGGTGAAAATACAAAAATCATAAAAAATGTAACCTCAATTTGTTTTTATAAAATGACAAAGAAAAAAAAAGGCATACTGACACCGAACCGTAAACTAGTCAATAAGTAATTTAGCTTTTGACGAAACGATAATAATTTACAGTATCCTTGCAGTTCGTAAAATTCTGATTCTATTAGTTGCTGTATAAATTGATGATAACCGAGTAAATAGCATAACAATCATTGTTTTTTTAAAGTGTATTTCGATGGAAATATCTTTAGCCTAAAATAGCTCTTGTATACAAAAAAAGCTTTTACATATTATATGCTACATCTCTAAAAAGAAAAGAGACTTTCTCAATAGTATAGTTGCTATATAGAAAAATATAAATATAAAGAAAAATTGTAACTTTATTCTTTGAGGGTGTTTTTATTCGATTTACTAATTTTTGGGATACATCTTACATACCAATTTTGGTCTCAATATCTCGATCCGAACTACCTTAGCTCCAAGTGCCGAACCTCATTATTTTATATTTATTTATTTATTTAATTGGTTTCTTCTTGTACCAATGGGCTGCCCTTACAGATAAACCGCCATTGTGATTCACCCTGTATTTCCTTTTGTGTCAGTTAACAGTATAAAAACTGATTTTAAATGATATAATAAAAGAGATCAATTTGCTGACTAAAGAACCAAAAAATTTTACCCGTTATGAGGTTATAAGAAAAACTGCATTGTATATCTGTGAGTAAAATACTCAAAATAATAATTAAATATAAGTGTTATCTTCATATCTAAATTTTTAACACATATCTGTGTAACTTATCTTTCGTCCTAAATCTTATCATGATACTAAGATACTAGATAATTTGTATTTGGATAAGGACGCCACTGTACTGTCTCTAGAATCATAAAAGTGATTGGTATCATGTTGGTTTCTGAAACTATAATCATTAAATCATAAACGATAAAATACTTAACATAAGACAAATTCTTTATTTATATTATAAAAATTAAAGTATGCTACCGGTTTCGGCCCAAGGATTATCATCAGGCCTTAAAAAATTGGTAGAAAGTGTTGCTCAACATTAGAAACAACAGTTAAAGAAACTAATCTCTGTCATAAAAAAATAACTAATGTGTTGGGAGGAGTTATAACAGTTAATGGCTGAACTTCAATGATATTGTTTCAGTGATCTATTTGTGTTTACTTGTGCAGTGTTGCCATATTATCTATTTTGATTTTTTGCCAGTGCGCATCTAATTCTGATCTGCCATCTCAATCTTGCCGTACTATAAAAGTAAAAAACTAGGAGTGACATGCTAGTTGATTAAGGAAAAAAATAGTGTCCCAATGTCTGGAAAATTAATGGGTTGAAGAAAATTTAAATTCAAGAAAAAGAATAAGAGGATAAGTTGGAAGTGATCGAACTAATTTTTTACTTTTGAAAAGAATACCCTCCAATCCATACTAGAAGACATGAAGCCTTTAGTTGGATATCCACGCACTGACAACTGACAAATCCAATGACTACGTCTCGCCTACAAACTTTTTGTAGTTGCCCGAAAAACTCAACTTTTCGTCCGTACAACATAAACTACTGTTTCTTAGTACTAGCAAATGATGTGCTAGTTACTGTGTCGTTACCATGTAGTTTGTAAGTTATTGTCTTATCATTATTTTGTTGATGTCATTATATTTGTCAGTTGAATTTTAAGTTGAATAAAGCCTTGATTCTTGGTATTGTGTTTAGAACAATTTATTCAACTTAAATTTAAAATATGGACAAATACTTACTCCTAGAAAGATTGGATGTAGATCCCGCCTCTAACAATGCTGGACTTCAATGGCTCCATTTGAAGAGCACCTTTGAAAATTTTCTATCTGCTGTGACGCAAATATCGAAAGCATCAGAGGGTCAACCTGCGATAGTAGAGCAAACTAGACTACAGTTACTAGTAAATTACATTTCACCAAACATTTATTCATCAGCGATAGTAAAAGTCTAAGAGATGCTTTGGATATTCTGCAAAATTTATATATCAAGCCCAAAAGCGAACTCTATGCCCACTATGCATTGTCCTCTAGAAAACAAGCCGGTGATGAAAAACTAGACCAATATATTCAAGTATTGAAGCATTTATGCAAAGACTGCAATTTCAAAGTCGTTACTGCTGAGAAAAATGCTAATGATCATATAAGAGATGCGTTCATTGCTGGTCTACGGTCTCAGAAAATAAGACAACGAATACTAGAGCATATTACGTTAGATCTCGAAGAACCTTTCACTCTAGCGAGAACTATGGAAATGGCTGAGGAAAATTTGGTATGTTATGAACCTAAATTATCTCTTAATGCTCTAGATAACAAAACGGAACGACCAAACGAAGCTTCTACTAGTTCAAGAGGTCGTGGTCGTTTCACAATCAAAAAAGAAGTGCTTCTTCTGTGGAGGTAAAGTACATCAACAAACTAATTGTCCGGCTCTCAATACTAATTACCAATTGTGTTCAAAAAAAGGTCATTTTGCAAATGT